GTCTTATAACTCAAAACTTGAGGGTTAAAAGACTGGACTAGTCGTGAGGCGTTAAAAATTAGTCGAGGTCTTTTAAAAGGCCTTAAAAGACTGAGTCTCTTTCATCACTAGTTGTTGGTCATAGCCAATACCGCCAAAACTATTCCTCACGTGGACCTTGGCGGTTTTGGCGGGAAGAAACGTCATAAAAAAGCGCGGAATCTTTTTTGTATCCTCTAATTTCACCATTGTACGCGAAATAAACCATCGCAAGCATTGACTTACAATTAAAAGTCAATGATCGCAAGCAAATTTCGTTTTATTCTACATTGGCCACCGAGCTACTATTCAACTGCCATTGTAATTTTTCGATGGCACGTCTTTGAAGACTAAATTGCTGACTAAACTAGATAAAAATTAAGACATGCATAGTAATTTCCTTGGTAGGTTTAGTATGGCAACAGAATGAATGAATGCCATCACTGCTTTTCAATCGACGCTCTATTCAGACAACTGCCACTACTACTAGATTTTAACAGAATAACAAATAAGTTTTTTTTATAATACCAAGTGACAGGACGCCGCACGACTTGTACGTGCGCCTGATGGTAAGCTACACGCCTGTCCATAACAGTTACAATAACACTCAGAGAGAGCGAGACTTGAGGAGCACTATCACTACGCCCGTCACCCTGAGACACAAGTTGACAAGTCTCATTTGTCTGTAATTTCACCATAACGCGTGTCATGGCTTACTGGGTTGCAATAGCTTACAATATGGTACTAGCAGAAAACCAGCTCTGTTTGACTTTTCACGGTCTACAGTACTTATGCTGAGTCATGGCCATTTCAGCACAAACTTCAGCCATACGTAAAATGTTGTTAATTCTCATAGTATTTCGACCCCTCCTACGTAAAGTATCGTATGTCAAAATTCACAAGTTTACAGGGGAGCGTTTTTAAGTTTTGAATTCACTGAAGTGTTCATAACACGTGACTTTAGCATTTCATAGTTTTATTCGGCAAAGCTCGTTACTCATAGAGTATTATAAAATCCCAGATATCGGTTAGATGAACAACCACAATTTATTTTATAATTTTATACTGTCACCCGACCCGCCCATTCTCACTTTAGTTTACCCGCTTGTTGACGCATACGCGTTGGTCCGGAGTTATCGCGTAACGTACATACAAAAAAAACAGTTGAAGTCGTTTATAAAAACACGGAGGTTCACAGCCCTAGGAAAACGTGTTAAGTCCCCAATCCACATGGAGGACTGTGTCCAGCAGTGGGATGTATTTTGAAAGCTGTATATTATACATATACAGTGTATAACATCGTAAATATTATTTACGACAAAGATGTCAGATGAGAGACGTACAAAATTTATGACAGCAACAGGTAAATTAATGATCATTCAAGTTGCGGTCCTTTCTGAGCATCGAACTCTCCACTTCGATATTACAAGACTCGTTATCACTGACATAATCTTTTTCCTGAACGAGTGCGGGTAAATTGCATATTCATTAAAATTATCCAGCTACGGTAAGTAACTTACGTATAACAACGTCACAATACGTAATGTGTATAACTACGTATATACCTCTACAAATGTATACATACGTACGGTCGTATATATACGTACGGTCGTCGGCCTAGTAGGATGTGTGCCAATACCCTGCGTGACCGTCACACATACGCAAGTTTCACACACCAACGTACTCCAAACAGTACGCAAATGTGTGAGTTAACGCGTACATTCTCATTAAATTGCAGCGCACACAGTGTTATTGTATCCATGTGTGTGAATTTGTTGGGTGATTCTTTTGTGCGTAAAAATGTAGTTTTGTACTTGGGTTATTTTCAGGTTAGTTTTCTGTTATAATTTTGGTGGCAAATTTTGTTATCCCACCTTATCATTTATAACTCACTAAGCGACATTTTTGCGAAATTGAGTTATTAACAGATCTGGGATCAATGAAATGTGATCTGCAGCCCCCGTATAATCAGTTTTTTTTAATTTTATTTAGTTTTTGTTTTATTACAAATTGACCGTAATGGAGATTTTTCAAATAAAGAAAACACTTCATTTGCAGTTTACGTCTCACTGGTAGGCACGGGTCTCTAAGCAGATGCAGTTTAAGTCTGTATAAGTAGTGGTTTGTTCAATTACTTGCTTTGCGAGCAAACTTGTTGCAAAAGGTTAACAAAGAAACTTTGTAAAACTGTTTTTCCGCTTAAATCAAATTGAAAATATATTGTTTATTATATATTTTCTTTTTCTCTCACTCTTTCTCTATGTATGTTTTTAATGCTCGTTCAGCCAATGATGGTCTCCAAAAATTCTTCTTCTCATCGTATCGATGACATACACTGTAATGATTGCCATCGTGGTTTGTCGCCACTTTGTAGTTTATCGGATTTGGACTAGACTGTAATACCTACGTACCTGGTTCAAATATTCTCAATGTAGATATTGAGGGACGACAAAAGATTATTTAATTTATAGGTGTACATATAAGCGATTAGAAAGACACTGAACCATGATGAAAATGTTCATAACACTACATTGTGCTATGACGAGGAACCGTAGAGGTGCGCCTCGTATGTCGCGTACAAACCCCCATCACATCTCGATAGTGTACTGCGGCGGGACACCTTGAGAGGTGCCCCAAGTGGACTTCCAGCCTCCCCTTTAGTCCAACCTCTGCCCAACAGGTTTCAAGCTTCGATAGCTAGCAATCGCGGTACAAGCGTACATGCCAGCTACTACCGACCCGATTGATGCCAACGATAGGCACCCACAGTCATAAGCGTCAATGACGCTAGTCTACTGCGGGTCGAGTTAGCACGTGGCAAATAGTCATGTTTCGTAACAATATTAAACTCGACAATTAACTTAGTTGTGTGTCTTTCCACCGTGTCTATGCGTGTCGTAATGTTAAACAGTACATAGAGGAACTTACCAGTTGTTTGTCTCTTAGGGTACATTCACTTACACAGCCATATCTTTCGTTTCAACCAAACTGAAGCGCATTCGGTTCCCGCCATTGCCGTTGACGTTACTGCCGTCTCAATAGTGTCAAAATAACAAGTTAGCAAAGGCAAAGCAGTGTTACCACAATACAAAAAATGGTTGATTATCGCGTGATTCGCGATAGGTATTAAATTATATATACAGTAATACCACGTTTTGCGCGACCCCGCATTGTACGATTTCGTTCTAACACTATTTTCAAAATTCGCGCTAAATTACCTCGCTTTACGCGGATGCATTCATTGATTCAGCCAATTTGAACTCGTAGTTTCTCAGTTACTAATAGTGCATTATCACAGGTAGTTCTTTCTTGGTAGGTCCTTTAATTTGTAATCCTATTGGTACTGTCTGTTAGCGAGGGAATTGTAAAAGATAATTTTTACGAACAACGACGCCACCGGCTAACAAGAAAAGCGTAAAAGCTTGAGTTTGGAGACGAAGATAAAGTTAAAGTTTTAGAAAAGATGGGTAGCAGTTCGTTTCAATATTTAACTGGTTATTCGATAATACCCCGTTCTATTCCTGGTAGCAGTCGTTAGGTCAAGCTAGAGATCCTAGGGCGACTAAAAAACTATAGCACCAGGAGGGCCACACAAAAACGAACAACCCCGTTTTACGCCAATTTCGCTTAACGCGATTTTATCCGGAATGCATCACTCGCGTAAAACGGAGTATTGCTGTATACGTACATATATGTATATATTGGTCAAGCTTGTTCTTCACATACCCATAAAATTAGAATTTCTTTTTCTGAAAAAAATTGCTTTAAATCTCTCTCCCGTAATATATTCCAAATGCACATTAGACACTTTACCTTTTCAGGGTCGATATATTTTACGTTTTCTTTGTAAAGTAATCTCCGATAGTTATACTAAACCTACAGTATTTTGTGATGCGTTTTTACAACCTTAAAGAGACCTTGTGACAGACTACCGCTCTACTGACCAAGCAGAGTCTACAAAGCAAATAAAGACTCCACTGTTAAGCAAAAAGTCGATCAAAAATGTCACTATAAATTATATAGATATTCATCTTCTAAATTCATCCCTTGTTCTTTTACTACGACACCCTAGCGAAGATAGTATGTAGCCTATTTGTAACATTAAACCATACTGAATTACTTATTCACTACGGCAAATAATAGAAATCTTTTACGCTCGCACACTACTGTACACGATTCACCTATGTACGTGGTTTGTGTGAGTGTGAATTGTGTAACTTTGTCAGCAGGTTTAATTAACTAGTGGACACTGGGCTTAGGGTATGTTACCATTAATATGACCTGTTGCGATTTCATGGCGTCCCTTATAAGGAAAATATTTATTTTACGTCATAACAAATAATATGGAATTGGTACTATATGTCTAAGGGTTTTTAGCGATAATTATTGAAGAGTGAGGGTGGTGGTGAAATTACAGGCAGCGTGGGGCTTGTCAACTTATGTCTCAAGGTTATAGGCACAGTGGCAATGTCCCTTAGATCTTTTCCATTTAAAGCTCTGAGTGACACTGCAACTGTTAGGGCATGCATGGGGACAAAAAGAACAAGTGTTTTTGTCCCCAGTCGACATTGCATAAACAAGAATGACAGTGTCCAGCAGTATGATGAATTTCAAAAGCTCTATAAGATCGTATATCTTACTTACGACAAAGTGTCGGATGAGAGACGTACAAAGTTTATGACAGCAACAGGTAAATTAATGATCATTCAACTTGCGGTCCTTTCTGTCTGAGCATTAAACTCTCCACTTCGATATTACAAGGCTCGTCATCACTGACATAATCTTTTCCTGAATGAGTGCGGGTAACTTGCATAAAAAAAACAAGGAATATGGAATTGTGACTATATTATCTTTGAGTATTTTTAGCAATAATTAGCAGAACTCCAATGCACATGTTTCTTCAAGGAAAGTCCAGCAATGCTCCCTTTTCCCTAAAGCAGCAATGATAAAGAACTAATTTATTATCCTATCTTTCTTTCCAGCCGTGAAATTCGGCCGTATGTCCAAGAAACAACGCGAGAAGGTCGAAGATGAAGTGCGATACCACCGCGCCCAGATCGCGCGGGCTACCGCGGATTCAGCCCCGGACTCTGTGTACGATACTCAACAGCAAACGCCGAGTTCCAGTGATCAATTCCATCCACATTACAACGGGTAAGAATTTTTATAAGATGTTAACAAAACAGCTTATTCAAGACAATAGAGAACAGCAAGGGAATGTTTGGTCATCTGATGCGATGCCTTCAAGAAAGATTTGATACTCACAATAAGGTTTTTCCTACAAACGATTCGGGTAGAGTCGACATTGGAGGGCAATCGACACGGTCCTCAAAAAAGAAGGCACAATGCTTTGCTAACACATTTGTCTCACTCTAGTGTAGCATTCTCATACATGCCAGTTAACATCTCTAAACCGACAGAGATCTCCGTCAAAGTAGGACAATCCACCGCATCAAAAGCATTAAGGTGTTTTACCGTTTTCCCGCAATCTATTACTGTTAAACAAGACTCCATTCGTGTCTTGAGACTTTGTCATTACAGCTAACGGGAACCATTAAACGTCTCGTCTTGAGTAACGGTACGACGCGTAGCGTCGTCTAGTGTCGAGTAGTAATTCTAACAGATTCTTAGAACTGTTCATAGATGGCGTTGTAATTACTTTTTAATGGATTGCAATTTTTCACTTACAAGTTTTATAGTTTTTTCTTTAGGAACTTTGCCGTTGAATTTGTCTTGTATTAAACATTAATCTAATAAGTATCAAACCAAGGAAACTTATAGGAGGTCCTATTAATGTTTAGTCCGATAATAAACATTATCAATTCTTGTCATATCTATTTGTATTATGACAAATCGATATCTTCATTGAATTATGAAAAGATCAACGAATATTTTCTAAGGGATTATTGATTGGATGCAATATAAAATGTTATGGTAACCTCTATCTCAACAGTCTACAGCCTTGTGTCTGGGCTCATGATTCGTTTTGACGAGGACTTTCAAGAGTTTAAGTTATCTTTGATAATCTCGCGGTAATGACGTGATTCTTGACGCCGCTTTCTAGACTACGATCGTTTACTACATCCGTTGTATTAGCGTAGCGTTGATTTCCAACCTTAAATTTCGTCGCCATCTGTCAAATAATTTTAGCAGTACTTGACCAAATTTATAGATACATGATGGGAATGAAGCTTCGTACTTGACAACACTTAATTCGATTGATCCGTTCAGGTAATCATTTGTTATTTTTGTTAATTGTTCATCAATAATGTTCATTTTTTTCTGACGCTTCTTTTATCTTAACATTTTGCACTGAACTGCACCAAAGTTGCAATTATGAGAAAAATACTAAAATCGGCTAGAAAAGTTACAAAACTGCTAATGAAAGCAAAGTACAGGATCCATTGACTTACAAATAAATGGACGACGGGTCTAATACAAAAACCACGAAAAAAATGTCCCAAGTCAACCTATTTAAACGTAGTGACATGTCAAGGAATATGAAAAAGCTAAAACGTTGAATTTAAATTGTAATGTCATCGCAGTACTGTCTAATTTTGCTTGCTTCGCTGTCAGTCGAACAAACGAAGACTAGAGCGTGAATGACGCTCTGTATACGATTTTAACGCCCTATAAGTTCGGACACTTTTTAGCGCGGACCCGACGTCCATATAATTGTAAGACAATGACAGGACCCTACAATTTTGTATAATTTGCTATAGAATGTATTAAATGTTCTAAAAATATTAAAAATGCGAAAGGATAAAAAATGCGAATAAATCAGTATTTAGTAGCAGTAGAGCTCCTTGTGAAAGAGTCCGTCCAGGTTACTAGTAGTATTGCCACCTTACCTATTTCTGCCACCAAGCAGTAATATCAGCATTATTGTGTTTCGGTTTTGAAGGGTAAGTGGTTAAAGTTCAGTGGCACTGCAACTGTTATGGACAGGCGTGTAGCTTACCATCAGGCGCCCGACTTTTTCTTTTTTTTTATTTATTTGGCCAGTCAACAACCAATAAAATGTCAGAAAATATACATGCAAAAAAAAACTTAAAACTAAGTGCACAGTCCATTATAGACCGACAGTGCATGCACAATAAATTATTGCAGAGTAAAAAGAAACTTACAAAAAGTGTAAACATTAATTTAACTATAAAAATCACTTACAAGACTTGTTCGTCCCGTCACTTAATATTATTAAAAAAAAACTTGTTTGACAGCATTGACTTACAAATAAATGGACGACGGGTCTAATACAAAAACCACGAAAAAAATGTCCCAAGTCAACCTATTCGAAATTTAAATTGTTATGTCATCGCAGTATCGCGCTGTCAGTAGAACAAATGAAGACTAAAGCGGAGTGTCGCGCTCTGTATACGATTTTAGCGTCTTACAAGTGCGGACACTTTTTAGCGCGGACCCGACGTCCATATAATTGTAAGTCAATGTTTGACAGTAATTGTTTCGGACAGATGTCGGACATAGAACGAAAGTAGGCCCCCTGTTAGAATGAATATCTCAATTATTAATTGGCACTCTTTCATTTCTTTCAGCTACCCTGGCTACGGGTCGCCCCTTTCGTCGTACGGCTATACAAACGCTGGCCCCGCACTCAATTCCAACATGAGCATTCAGCCACAGGCGCAGCAACCGCAGCAATATGACGGATCAGCCGATCCCTTCGTTGACTCAACTACTGCGTACGAGCCGAAACAGACCGGAGGATTTTTGGACACTGATTTTATTGGGCATGGTAAGTGATATTTTGTCTGTCTTTCGTTTTCCGCATACTTTAAAATACTGAAAGAACTTGAATTACGATTATCACTAATTTTAGGTTTCTTACCACGGTAAGACTTCTTTTTACTTTCCCGATAATTCGGGACGGTTGCACGCTCCATGTCAACCCGTGACCGTTCCGAAATTTAGGGAAAAAGTCATACCGTGGTAAGAAACCTGAAATTAGTGATAATCATTTAGTGAGTAACCAAGAAAGTTTTAAAATCTACATAACTTGAATTATAGTTCAATAAAACATCTCAAAAATAAATACTTTCTCTTTAGGAAAAAAGGTCTAGTTACGACTCTCAGTAACAGATGTCGCTGGCGACTATTATACAAAATACTTCTTTCTTGACTGTTAGGGAGCGCTGTACACTTTGCCATATAAAATTATAAAGTAATTTACAACGTCTCCGACAACTATCTATATTTAACCGTTATTGTATTGTACAAACATCGGAAAAATATCTCAAAAAAGTCTACAAATTGTATAAGATAAGGGTTGTTTGTTACCACGTTCAAAACCAGACTCTACGCGTTTGAAATAAGGTGTTTAGTTTGTCTTCTGTACTAACCTAAAGCAAAACATCCTACACTAACAATTTTCCATCCCTAGAAGATCAACAAAAAGAAACAACAATCGTCCGACCGAGCGGATCAACATCAACAACCACGTCAACAACATCAACGACAACTCTGGGCACCATTGACATATCTCGCTCTCGTATAGACTTCGACAGATATAAGCAGGAACGTATACAATCGCCTGGCGTCATTAATATCAAACAAGAGATCAAACCGGAGACATCTATTGGCGTTGATAACTTAGTGGCCAGTTATGTTGACTCGACAACCTTTCTGCACAGTCCGTCAACAATTCAGCACAGCCCTATGGACATTCAGACGTCAGTCTTGGTCAGCGGGCAAAGTTCAGTTTCCTTGACCAGCGAGGAACTAAGTCCTGATGATCTGACCTCTAGCAGTGGTCACTCAAGGTTGTTAGATCCGTTGAATTTGAACATGAGTGGCATGGGCATGGTGAACCCCAACGCTATCTCTAATAGAAGACATCAAGGCAGCCATAGTTCCAATGAAGATTTGCCCTGTAAGTTGTTGAAGTTGTCACATTGTAGATTTTTATAAGTCGAAGTTTGTTGCCTTGTTTTTATTGGTTGCATTTGTTGTCCAATTGTTTATTTCGTTGACATTATTGTACAGCACAATTATTATTTTAATACGTCTCGGCAATCTTCGGCTGTCGTCGGATTTGTGTCAGTTGCTCTTTGCACTTAGTGCAAACTGGACGCATTCAATCAATTTGGAAGTCGCTACTAATCTTAATTTTACTTAACTGGCTTGAAAGGGAAATATACAAATATTGTTTTCAACTTTATTTATTTAGGAACTTTTATACGACGTATATATCAGATCCATCGTAACCTTAAAGCTTAAATATCTAATGTAAATTCAACAAAATAGTAAGTCTTTTTGCCTGTTTCGTATGGGGATTCCAGTTAACAAATTATGGCACCTACGGATGTTTGCTTAATCTGCAGTTCTGTCGTCAACACCGCCCTCTGTTGCTCGTACCGTTCAGATCTCAGTGACAAGAATATGCATCTTCTACTACTCCGCATATTTGGAGAATAATGGATATTAAATTCGGGTGCGTTAGGAAATACGAATATTATCGAGAGACGTTTAAAAAATAGTTGCACAGTATTTTTAGTTTTTCTAGAGTTGATTTCGATGTTTTAGCGTCGTATAGGTGTTTGTGTAACCCGATTGTTAACAACTTAGTGTCTTAAGTTATTTATTTTTGCTACAGCTGTCTTGTTTTGCTATTATTTTCTAGAATATTGATATAAAAATTTCTAGAATATATGTACACTTGCTATATCTTCTACCTAGTAGAGTAGTGATTGTTTTCTTGAAATAGACGTGCACTTTTTCTGTTATTAAAAATAAGCTAGGTGATTTTGTTCAAGATAAATTTTGTGGATAATTGTCATTTTTTATTTATTAGTAACATTACATAAACATAATACGTGATATGGAACAATTCACAAAAAAGTATAGGTCGAGTTTTTACTTACGAAAACAAATGAAATCCGAAAAATAGTTTCCATTTCCTATGAACGTAGTAGAGTTCCTCGTCCAGGGAAGTACTGCCACCTTACTCATGTCTGCCGCCAAGCAGTAATGTCAGCATTACTGTGTTCCGGTTTGAAGGGTAAGGGTGCTGGTGAAATTACAGGCACATGGGACTTGTCAACATGTCTCAGGGTGGCGGGCGCAGTGGTAGTGCCCCTCAGATTATTGCGATTTAAAGCTCTGAGAGGCACTAACTGTTTTGAGCAGGCGTGTAGCTTACCTCAGGCGCACGGCTTGTTCGTCCCGTCACTTGATGGTATAAAAAAAAGTGACAATCAAACCAACTTAAATTGAAACAATGATTTAGATGATAAAATCATTTATGCGTGGCTGTATGGATTAATTTTTTTTATAGAAAATCCGTGTCTAGACATTTCTGTGAGGAAATACTCGACGTCGTTTATCTGAAACAAATGAGCATATTGCAGTTAGTCATTCCAATCACAAGACCTCAGAGGACGAAATTCTAATAGTTACTACGAACCTATCGCGGACATAAGCCCTCCCAATGCGCGCCATTTCACCCGGTCGCAAATTGTCTGTCCATCTGGCCAGAGGGCGTCTCACATTACGTTTGCCGAGCCGTGGTCTTCACTCAAGAACTCGCTTCCCCGTTGCCGATTCTTCGACAGATATGGCCAGCCCACGGCCATTTCAGCTTGCTTATTCTACCAGCTATGTCAACGACTTTGGTTCTCTCTGGGATAACCTCATTCCTTGTCTATTCATATAGATCTCTGAGCGATTTTTAACTGTCCGACTACTATACATATGTATTATAGAAGGTTTGGGATAGGGTCAACGCTTTACGCGGTTCACCATGTTACACGATTTGTGTTTTTAACCTATCTGTATTGTGACAGCCACAAAAGGCACGTTTCATCACATCTTGCGCATACTTGCTGCTAAAATAAGGTTCTCCCAAACTTCATAAAAGTTTATCGGGAGAGTTTGGTTGCTACGCTTAATATTACAGTCTCATAAACATTACATTCAGTTATCGACATTACAGCTTTTCAATTACCTGCATTGTATCTAACAAATATTTTTTTATTTCATTTTTACAGTATTTTTAGTACCTTTAATGTTTTTTAAGTGTGACGGAAGACAGTTAAACAATGTTGGAATTAAATAGTCCTTAGTTCTTTTACCATATACTTTATTTGTTTTAAAAGTTTCATAGCTGCCCATCATTGCTTGTCTTGTTGGATAATTATAATTTTTTGGTACTTTATATTCATGACTTGAATATTCGTGCAATATTTGGCAAAACTTATTTTAAATAACACTCTCAAGTACACTCTCTCCGCACCTTCTTATCACCTAACAGCTTTAAGAACCGTATTTGGAGTGACCTAATTTTGTTAAGATGTGTCACGTCGGTAGTACCATACGTTCCCATACAGTGATTTATAATAGATTCAACAAGAGCATGATAGGGGGAGTACATAGAGTCGCACGAGGAGTACAATTTCTGTACTGTCGCAATCTAGTACAAAGGTTCCCGGGATTTTTAAGAACACACCTAGTTTCGACTTTTCTTTTTTCGGGACGCGAAAATGCAGTGATACTCAAACCGCAGTAGGGACATGCCGTTGTCCCCTCAATGAAGAAGCAACCTTACTAAGGCGTAATTATTAACCGTGTTTACTGTACTCTGTTCCCATCGAGTATGTAACCAGAAATAGAGACGAAATAAACGCCATCCGTCCCTGGCAACTCATCAGGCAGATGGACTTTATATCACTTTTAAATATCAACTTTCGTTTGTACTGAAATCACAAATTAGAAAACTGAAATAGTACAGCGCCGACAACTGACCTGTGTGTACGTCTCCGTATATTCCAAATATATTCTGTATTTATTGTAATAAAGATAATATCTCTAACAATGGGAGTCTGTTCCATTCGGTGGTGGTTCGGTGATGGTGGGTACAAAACAAACGGAATCACATTTCGTAGGTAATTAAATATTTAATGTCATTTTTCAATTTTCGTCCATTATAGCAAAGCTCAAGTTAAACTGGTCGAATTGAAATATTGACGACACCCGTCAATTGTTTCAAATTTGGGCTGGCCAATCGGATCAGAATCGCAGTTATCTCCGTAATGATTTGGCAGAATAGTTTTCAAACAAATTACATGACATTTAGTCTCTATTTCTGGTTATATACTCGATGTTTGTCCCCTACCACCAAAGCTCACACTGGTTCCAGCAGTCGTGTTATTAAATAACAACATACCATAACTCTATACGCTCCTTGTCTATTCTTTCTTAAAGATGGTAATTCTTCTGTTCCAATATCCCGCCTTACTATAATCACAGGCAAAGGGTATAAACAGAAGGGAATCCAGCATGCTGTAAAGAAAATTCGGTTTTTAGAATCATCATACACTTCTTAATCGAATCAATCACTCTTCTTAATTGAACCAATCACACTTCTTAATTGAATCAATCACAAGAGGCTTATTTGAGATGTTTTGAGAATATCAAGCACAAATTTTGAGTAGCAAAAGAGCTCCTTGTGAAAGCTGTGAGCGTTCTGATTTTGAAGGGGATCATATAGACATGTGATACGTCAAAAGTAATAAAAATAATAGGATATTTGTAAAAAATAACAATATCGTATAACTGTATTACTAATATCGCAAACAACAACTTTCGTTCCATGATTTTTCAGATTTATTAGATTTCACTTATTGCTGCTTATAGTTGCGCATGTGTAATAGCTCTTACACACTTAAAACGCTTGCACGTTTGAACTTGCAACCTTATTACCACGCAGATAAACTTTTGGTATATTTATTACGTTTTATAAAAGTCATGGAACAACAGTTGTTGTTTATGATGTTAGTAATATAGTCCTGCTGTTATTAGTATTTTTCAAACAACCCTGTACGTACGTGAAGTTTTAGATACGTGACATCTCTAGCCATGACTGGTAGCTGTAAAGGTATCTAATTGGGTGACGAAATATTTTCATGGATTTCTCATAGATCACCGCTAAAAAGTCGTTGAAAAACCAAATACAAAAGGTCCGGCAAACAAGCACATAGAAAAATTCGTGAGGTCCGCCGGTTCGTTCCGTGGCTTAGTTGGCATAGTGTCTGCCACGGTTTGGTAGGAGACGTCGGTGCGAGTCCGGCCCGATCGAAGGAATTTTTTCTAAATGTTCGATCTTTGTATTAATAAATTATCATTTTTCAGATGCGGCCTTATCACATTCAGGAGTGTGATTTTATTATTATGATATATCTTTTCCCTTAACGGTGGAACACAGCTTTTTGTCCCTCCTAAAATAGGCTTTATTCGTAACTATTCAAAGTACTAAATCATAGCTGTGATTTTGGCTAAAAAATCGTATGAACTTACGTCCGCAGAGGATAAAGCACGCAGTCAATAGGGCAGCGGTTAACGGCTCCATTGTACTATAAAAGACACATGCCTTATCGTGAAGAAATGTTTCATTGTTTAAATATTCTGTAAGCCTATTGATGAATTGACATTTTATTGTTTTTCTTTTTTTTTTTGGTACCTACTGTTTTTTTTGTTTTCGTTATTGTTTTTTTTTCTATTCTTTCTGTACAGGAACAGGTAAAGGTTTGACACCATACAGCCAAGTCTTGATAAATTTTTCTTCTTCTTTTTAATAAAAATAGGCATACGCAAGTCTTCAGTCCTAAAATTAATTTAGAATATTTCAGTCATTGACTTACAAATAAATGGACGACGGGTCTAATACAAAAATCACGAAAAAAATGTCCCAAGTCAACCTATTCGAAATTTAAATTGTAATATCATCGCAGTATCGCGCTGTCAGTCGAACAAATGAAGACTAAAGCGGAGTGTCGCGCTCTGTATACGATTTTAGCGCCTTACAAGTGCGGACACTTTTTAGCGCGGACCCGACGTCCATATAATTGTAAGTCAATGATTTCAGTGTTGTTTTTGAAGTTCTTTCCGTTATGGAAAGGCAAAGGTTTTAAACCATACAGCCAGGCTTTGGTATTTTTTTATTTTGCTAGCTTTACCTACGTCTTAAATTTATAGTATGAGTAAATTCAGGATAGCAGTATGTTGGTAGGTCAATGGGGCTTATAGTTCCATGAAGTTTTGGCTTGGAGGATGGAAACAAACTTTAATTTTTTTACGACTTACTTTTGTTTTATTAGTCACATAATTCCTTCATTAGGGCGGCCACAAAATCGGATGAATTAATATTCAGCGACATCAAGATTAGAGAAACATTATGATTCTAAAAGGTGCACATTACTGGTGCGCAGGGTACGGCCCCAATATCGTCCTGGCTATGATAGCTGGCAGTTTAGATTGCCCCTATATTCGGCATTATTGTGATAAGCATGCCCGCTATTGTACAGGTTATGAAGGCAATCGATTTGGATATCAGTAAACTATGCACTTGTAATTTTAATTAGAATTTTGACTTTTATTTCATTTTATTTCAATTTTGTTCCATTTTATTTTATTTAATTTTTAATAACTTTTTATTGATTTTTTAAATCCGGATTATGTTATTTTGATCTTGACTGTATGTAGGGTCATTGTCGCCTGAAATAAAATGGTTTTTATTTATATTTATTTTTAAAATTAATTAAACATTATGTTTTATTAATATCACTATAACGTGTATGGTTATTATAATATTTTAAAAATTATATTCCTGACAAAAAGTTTTTTTTTCCAGCCGAAGGCGACATCAGCAAGGTCCTGGTAAAGAGTCTGGCCGAGGCCCACGCCAACACCAACCCCAAGCTGGAGTACATACACGAGATGTTCCGGAAACCGCCGGATGTCTCCAAGTGAGTGTTCACCTTTAATCTTAAAAAAAACGGAGACCGTGGTAGGCCTAAAACTCTCCTTACGAAACTTGAATGCCTGACGTTTAAACAAACCTTCGAAGACATGCAATAAAGGCACATTAATCTTAGTGATGCAATGTTATAGGTATATAAATAGAAAGAAAAAAGAAAGAAAGAAAAGACGTTTGTGTTTGAAAAGATGTATGACTAATTAATGCATACAAGAAACTTTTTAAAGTAATGGAAGTAGTGAACAAATTCGCAGTTGTACACAATATTCAACATGCTTTACAATCTAATCAATACATTGACCAATCGCAGGTTGCTGTACTACAACTCGATGACCTACGAGGAAGTGTGGCTCGACTGCGCGGATAAGCTAACAAGCATGATTCAGAACATCATTGAGTTCGCCAAGCTCATTCCTGGCTTTATGAAGTTGTCCCAGGATGATCAGATACTGCTGCTCAAGTCTGGTAAGTCTTGGCTTTGTACACCTTTTGTTCAGGTCATGAAGATCATTTTTTATATTTATGTTGGTCAAATAAAGTCCATATTTTTAAATTTACATATTATGCAATTGCAGGCTCGTTCGAGCTGGCGATCGTGCGCCTGTCGAGACTAATTGACGTGAATCGCGAGCAAGTGCTGTACGGCGATGTTGTGCTGCCGATCAGAGAGTGCGTGCATGCACGGTAAGTATGATCCATCTCTCTCAATCAAACACCATATTATGAACCTATCTTTCACAAGAAGCTCTACATCTTTATCTTTACTTCGTCCAGGGTAGGTCGCCAAGCAGTAATGTCAGCATTACTGTCTTGCTGTCTTGAAGGGTGAAATATTACATACTGGTGAAATTACAGGCGTATGGGCCTTGTCAACTTATGTCTCAGGGTGACGGTCGGCTGTGGCAGTGGCTCTCAGACCTTTACTATTTAAAGCTCTGTGACGGTGTTACATTTACATCGTCATAGGTCTGATTGGCATTGCAACTACTATTGACAAGCGTGAAGCTTACCATTAGGCGCACTTTTTCACCCCGTCACTTGATATTATAAAAAAATTTAATATATTCATGTATTGGTATATAAAGACTCTCTAGTAAAATTATCTTCTCTTATGATTTTGACGCATCATCGATCGTCACGAGCGTCTCTTCTGTAATAAAGGTGCAGTTGAGCTGTTTACCTCTTCATGACATTTGGTGTGTGTTAATCCTTACAACCGCAGAGCACACCACTGTTGCAATGCAGTTTCGTAAAGCCGTCATTAAATCCGGCTGTATACGTCCTATATGCTACCGACGCATCTCTTCCTATATCGGTCATGTGACTAGACGTGGTTTTAATAATTTAGTATCTAATTTAGTCGTAGTAGAGCTCCTTGTGAAAGAGTTACTTTCTGTACTTAGAATACTGCCACTGTACCTATTTCTGCCGTCAAGTAGTAATGTCAGCATTACTGTGTTCCTTTGAAGGGTAAGAAGGGTGCTGGTGAAATCACAGGCATATGGGACTTGTCAACTTATGTCTCAGAGTGACGGGCGCAGTGGCAGTGCCCCTCAGATCTTTGCATTTAAAGCTCTGAGTGGCACTGCAACTGTTATGGACAGGTGTGTATCTTACCATCAGGCGCACGACTTGTTCGTCCCGTCACGTTATATTATAAAAAAATAATAGAATAAAGAATTAAAGGAAAGTAAGCATGAGTATTACTTACATAATACAATACAACTAAACACAAGTCTTATTAATAAATAATTTGACTTAACTGACTAAAATAAATTATGTGGCAAAAATGTTATAATAGATTGGAAAAGAACTTAAATTATTTATATTATATACGTAGCAATGAGGTTGACTGAAGCCGATGAAGTAATATCTTCTGTAATTGCACTCCACAAGCACGATCTTCAATCGTAAAGAAGTGGTTGCCGAGGAAATGGACCATTGTGATAGTAGTGTCCTGTTTTTTTTTTCCAGTGACCCTCGAGATATGAATCTAGTGGTAGGCATCTTCGACGCGGCAAAGACGATCGCGCGACTCAAATTGACTGAGACCGAATTGGCGTTATACCAGAGTCTTGTGCTACTCTGGCCAGGTTGGTAGCACTGCATATTTGTATTTCATGTTTGTGGTGGATACGGACACGTACGCCTTGCAGCATTGCAATTAGACTGTATTTGAAAATGCTAACTAGAAGAAAAAAATAATTTACTTTTAAGTCTTAACCTTGCTATATTTCTGTGTAAACAATAGCATGCCGTTCGAATGCGGCGTAAACGGCGCTTATAGTGCGCATCCACCTTTATTTTCACTTTCCGCTCTCCATTTAACCCCAAATCATAAATTATCTTTCTCAAAATTTTTAAAAGCACTCATAACATTTTAAAGCAAATATTCTGTATGTAAAATAAACTTGTAATGCAGAATCCTGAGAGCTTATCAACACCAGGTTTATACCAAGAACAAAATGGCCCAAGAGATAATAAAGATAAACAAAGAAAGAAAGATATCGTTAAGGTATCACCAGGAAAGATTCATCCACCATCGAGATCATCACGAAGATCATTTTCACCGTCATCGATCATCACTCATCAGGCCTTTATGTTATTTTTACATTGAACTTCGATTTTCAATATGGTTGCCCATAAATTTGTTGTAATGTGGCTTAAGTATCTGATCGCAAACGTGGCTGAATATAAATCTAATTTTGTACCAATTAGAGCTCACTTTGGACGCATTGATTTTGTGTTGTTGCTCATAAAAAGTTATTTTTAACTGTCTTCAAAAAAAGGAGTAGGTACTCAATGCGACTGTACGTTTTCTTGTTCTTTTTTTGTTTGTATGCATGGTACGCTATAACTGTGAACCGATTTTGATGATTCTCCTTTTGTTGGAAGTCAGAAAGATCGTATCAGTCTCATTTAAATTTGAAGAAAATATTTCACTGGTTGTGGCAAACTATGGGATGGATGACTTTTGAGGTCGGTGTTTTTAATACTCTGTACTGACATTATTAGAGGTACAGAATTTAAATGTCACGTTTTATTCATATGAATTACTTTTGTAGGCACAGAACTGAACTTGTACCTCCCAAAGATTGGAACTACCTCTTATAAGTGTCTACAGAATTAAAATATTTCACACCTACGTATCTTTGGAGGCATAGAACTGACAATATTACCTAACTACTTATGGTACTTTATAGGTACAGAATTAAAGTAGTACCTATTATTTTTGTACCTCTAAATTGTTACTTAACTTTAAATTTTTTAGGAAATACAATTCATGCAATAATGAGAACCCTCAAGGATTATAAGTTGGTAGCGCAACTGACAATTCAGTCACGTAACGGTTTTGATTTTCCACGCATTATCTTTCATAATACGACATAACCATATTGAAAACCGTGGTTAAGCTAAAATTTCGCACAGAAAACTATCTTTTGACTAACATTTTCAGTGTTTCGATAAAACTTTATCAGAATTAATTGAATCAATCCGTCTATTACAAATCAATTATATTTATGATGCTCTTAAAGTGTTTAAAATTAATTGATTTCAAAATTTTATACTTCTGGTTCAAGTACGTTCAAAACAAAGAAAGATATCTATTCGCGCCTGAAGTTTATAATTTGCAATTATTTATGTATATAGAATGTTGCTAACACTAAATCATGAAGCGTTCCAAATGCCCTCTATGAGAAAAAATTGATTTTGACTTCCAAAATCTTCCAGAGAGACATGGCGTCCGCGGCAACCCCGAGATCCAGTGTCTCTTCAACATGTCTATGGCTGCAATGCGTCACGAGATCGAGACCAATCACGCGCCGATCAAGGGTGACGTCACAGTTCTGGATAATTTGTTGGCGAAGATACCCACATTCAGGTATTTGTTCTATAATAAATTGATATTTTTCTGAGTGTTCGATCTTTGTATTAATAATTATGACAAACTAGTGGAGTAATTTCACATAAAATAATTGAATATCAATTCAATAAAAAAAAATTAAATACGAATAGCGATATCTCTAGCCAGGGCTGGTAGCTGTAAGGGTATCTAACTGGGTGATGAAATACATAAGATTTTTCATAGATGGCGCTACGAGTAGAAAGTCGTTGAAAAACCAAATACAAAGATACGATAACAAACACTTTATCGTTACGTCATTATAAATCATATCTAAATATGCAGTAGAACTCCTTGAGAAAGAGTTCGTCCAGGGAGGTACTGCCACCTTACCTGTTTCTGCCGCCAAACAGTAATGTTAGTATTACTGCGTTCTGGTTTTAAAGAGTAAGAGTGCTGGTGAAATTACAGGCATATGGGACTTGTTAACTTATGTCTCAGGGTGACGGGCGCAGTGGCAGTGCCCTTAAGACCTTTGCGATTTAAAGCTCTGAATGGCACTGCAACTGTTATGGACAGGCGTGTCGCTTACCAACAGGCGCACGACTTGTTGGTACCGTCACTTGCTACTTCTAACTTCAGCGATTAAAGTTTATCAAATATTGACGGTTAAATAATATTTATGTTTTGTTTTTTTTTTCTTTTTACAGAGATCTATCGCTGATGCACTTGGAGGCGCTGTGTCGTTTCAAAGCAGCGCATCCTCACCACGTATTCCCAGCGCTTTACAAGGAACTGTTTTCTTTAGACAGCGTACTAGATTACACACACACATAAACATTATAACACCCTCTCCCTTCACGGACTTGTCTAATCATTCTTTCCCTGCAAAGACACGTTATTTAAAGACTTGACAGCTATTCTCTACCTGCAAGTGTCAGTCCGCCATCTTGTCTTCATGCTTCACAAAATGGCGGTCGAAACAGTTGACGGTGGTTTTGAAAATATAAAAATAAAGGCACTTATATTAATTTGTTAACCTATTTATAAAAATTGTATGTATGTACTTTGAGACTGTTATTATTACATATAGGTACGTACGTACAATAAAATAATGTTTAAAATGTTTATTTAATTCGTAATATTTATATATTGGTGCCTTTAGCTTTATATGAATATAAGAATCATATAAATATTTTTCTTTGTTATAATTTACAATGCATACGTAGAGCCTTGGGAGCGCGTAAAGAACCTGATTTTGCGTCTATATTTATATAAAAATGCATAATAAAGTTATATATACTTTGTTTTGTATTATATATAGCATAGGCGTGGTAATATATAATTATCATAAAGTGTATCTAACTTTGATGAAGAAATAATAATTATTATTATATAAAGATATAATAATAAATAGAAGTAGAGTTTTTATTAAGAAATAATAAAAGATATAAAGTGGAGTAGACAGTTAAAGAACACACAATTCGTTTAAGTAAAAGTTGAATAGGTCTTTTTTTTTATAATTTTTAACAGTTTTTTTTTAAAGAGAATTGTATCTTGTTATTTATTTCAAATGATTATTATTATTGATGTTTTTTTCTTCGAAGTAGGTTACTGTATAAGTTGTAATATAGACATAAATGATACTGCCCATTTTGTAATATTGCGTTGACTTTTGTTTTTATAAGTCAAAAAGTACACGAGAACTATTTCAAATCATATTAAACAAGTAATTTATAATAATAATTAAGACAGACGTAATATAAAAAGAGGTGCATTGATCAAAACTTTCATTCAAACATTATGATTAACAAAACTCCATAAAATTATTAATTATTAGCAGGCAATTTTTATTTTAACGTGATCTCATTTTCACTTTGCACGTCTCTACGCTTGGGTGCCATTTTTTGGGAATATCACAATCGTTCTGCATAATATTTAAAAAAATTAAACGCATAATAAAAATACGTTGTATTCAAAAAATAATAAAGTACAAAGTTGTTTCATTCGAAAGTACAATTTACAGAACACGTAAGACAAAATTGTATTTTTGATCAGGGTTCAAAATTATCAAGATATTTTATTATTTTCTTTGATAATTATCTATGGCGATTCGTTAATTTTTCACCGGAAATGACAAGCAGTGAGAAAACTAAATAAACCCGTAGAAAATCTTTGTGGAAACAATAGTTTGTGATTTTTTTGAGATTGACATTTGACCTGGTTTGGATACAAATAATTAATTTTATAAATTTATCAAGTATAATTTTTATTTCAAACCTAAAAATAAGTAGAAATGGTATTTAGCCAATATATATATAATAGACGTCAAACTCACACATTTGTGTCACACAATAATGCCGTCTTTCTCCTGACAAACTGAGTAACCGGCATTGGATAAATTTTTCAGTGTACCTTACTTTCGGAAAGGTCTTCACATTATATCATTAAGTTATATTAAATTTATAAAATAAGTAGATATTTTACTTTTGAAAACGAATAGGACTATGCGTCTCACGCAGTTACTTCATCAGAAACAGGCGTTCGTTGTGTGGTAACACCATAGAAATGGTAATATAATTTGTAAACATTATACAAAGAAAACGGAAATAATAGACATTATTTCCAAAAATTGAGTTAATTTCTTTACAGCACTAGATAACAAAAATATATAGAAAATAAAGACTTAATTGTACTAATATTTGAAGCCAGGTATTTATGATCTTGAATTTGAACTAAGAAGCTACACATAACGCCATCTAGTGTTGGTCGTAGGTAACGCTATGTTTGATATCCATTTTTTTATTTATTGAGCATTGGTTATACAGCCATAAGCGTATAAAGTAACAAATATCAACTCAAAATGCTTATGTTAAAAATTAATTTGTTTAAAATGCGTAAGTACAAAATCCCGCCTTTTTTGATTTTGTTATTTATTACCTTTACTACTATAAGGATGCAATAATATAACCCGACTGGTGCTATACACTTGGTGCACCTATTTTCCAGTAGCACTGTCACTTCTGTCAATTCTGACAGATATCTTTTTTCTGCAACGCGGCACTTGATTGCAATTGATGTCTACTCACAGGACAAAAATAACAACTAATTATATATTACTGCTCTGTCAGACATACGATTTCTATCAACTTAGGTGTTTTGTGCAATAATAAATTATAAAAATAAAATATTAATAATTGATATAGGACGTGGTCGTTACATATTCTATAAAATACAAGAACTAATAATTATAAAACGTTAAATGAATTATTTACTGCTAATGGAACTATAGTGTTGCACTACTTGATGATTTCGGAACTACATAAACATAAGCGTGTATGAAAGTGATGGTGTATCTGGTACTTTCGGTTCAGTATTTAACATTTTTTTGTTGTGTGGCTGGCGATCGAATAGATGACATTAAACAGTACTTGTGCTATCAAACAACATAAGCGACGATAATTATGCTTAGATGATAGCTTTCCGCACCTAATATGGTGTCCAATCGCACGTAGCTGTCGCAACTAGTAGACAAAAAATTTTTCAACGCTATTTTATATTTAGCACTTATCTAAAAAAAGGTAAACGCCGAAGCAGAAGGACGTCGATTTTTGGTGAATGTTCGCTTTTGAATGCTGTGTCAGACCGTACGTTAATAACAGTCAAAAATAGCAGATACGATATATATAGTAAGGGGAATGATTTATGACATTTTTTTTTCAAACCTTTTTTTTTATTTATTGCTTCCGAAAACTAAACAAAATGTCCCTTACAAGCTTTACGCAAAACTGTTTGTACGTATTAATGATATAAATATGATTTTTGATAAATTTACTTTTTTTATTCATGAAATTGCCTGCTATTCAATTAGAATATTATTAATAGTAATTTTTCTAACATTTACGCTAAGTTTTGTCGGATAGCCTTTACTATAGACTGGTTTAAATTTAAAAAAATATAAAAATCTTAACTGTATTTTGTAAATAGTTAATAATCATTATGTATTTTATATTACATTACATACCATATAAGGTTCAATGGGTTAATTTAATTTTTACATCTATTCTATTAAATCAAAAGAAAAACAAATTTTCCAACATGCGCTCGATGATTTACAATCTTGAATTCATGTGAAAAATGTTGTTTCAATTTCTATATAATATAGGTATATATTTTTTGTTAAATAAAGCAATCTGTTATTGTCTATAATTTTTTTGTTTTATTTTCTTTTTTTACCTTAGTTGTTTTTTGTTTTTAAAATGCAGTGGTATAGCACATATATTTTTGTTCTATATATACATAATTATATTAATATATTCATAATATAGTTATTATTAATACATAAATAGAGAGATCACATTATTATATAGAGAGTAATAAAATTATACGGGTGGTTCAAATTAGTTCGGTTAAAAAGCAATTAAATATATATTATATATATTTTTACATTTGTTTTTGACAATATTTTGACAGTTGTCAATCACACTTTCGAAGAATAAGTGTCAATTCTGTCTGTGCGCTTATTTTTAAAACTAATTTTCGAGGACTAAAACTGTTGCTGTAGTGAAATCGATTTATGACGTTGGTGACTCTATCGATACAATCGATGATTCCAATGGTGATTGATTGAATGTCAGGTTAGGAAAGACACGCGTGCATTACTCAAAATTTGACCGGTGAATTTCGACTAGGCTGTGAGGAAAATCTACTGACAACATAAACATTCACAGACTATTGCAGAAACAAATTGTTACTTTTAATAATCTTAGCAGAGAGTACTGATAAAACCGAACTCAAAAGTCTTTCATGGCCCAGTTTGCCTCTGTTAGAGGTGGAAAATTTTCTTCACATTTAAATGGGACCACATCAGAGGCACCCTCTTTCCAACAAAAAAATCATCAAAGTCGGTTCACAAAGTTATCGCGTAACATACATGCAAAAAAACGTACAGTCGAATTCAGGCTCCTTGTAGTTGACCGAGACCACGGATATTCAAAACGATTACATAATAATTTTTAAAATTATAGAATGATTTAAATGATTTTATGTCAAATTTCTGTGCCGGCAAAGAGACTGAATATTGATCAAACAATGAATAAATAAAATAAGACGTCGTAAACTCTGACAGTCATGTTATATACCGACATTATAATTATTGTTAATTTATTTTTTTATTGTATTTATAGAGCATTACCCAAAGCCATCAGTTTAAACGAGTAAGAAATAATTAAGAAATACAAAAGATAGTATACGCACACTAAAAATTAGGACGTAGTTAAACAAAAAGGATCCAATCTACATCCACTCACTTTCGAGATATGGCAGTTTGAAGTTTAAAAGTGTTTCTCACTCTTGTTTTATTTTCCAATCATGTAATATCATGTAACTTCAGATATATTTATTTATGTTTATGTGTTGGATTTTTTTTCCTGACAATTTTTGTGGATTGGATCCTTTTTGCTTAACTACGTCCAATTCTTGAGGCTGTGGATGTTGTGGATATTCTAAGGCAGTCCATATAAATGTGGAAGCGTACCGCTTCGTGCCAGTGCACGAAACTGTACGCTTCTGTATTTATATGGCGGACTGCTAAAGAGTGGAAATCCCTGCCTGCAGGCTTATTCCCTGAACGATGTAACCCCGGCCTTTCCCAAACGTGAGTGAGTAGGTATTATTTAGGTGTGCAAGTTCCATGCGTGAGATGAATGATCAAATGCGCATTTATACTTTTATAGAAAAAAGCGTTAAAAACTGTATCTACGAAAACTCGCCATTTTTTTTCTCGTTTACAGAATGATGTTAATTTTTGGATTCCACATATAAAGTGATTACGGGAATTAATCATAGAGATAGTTTTATGGAATATAATATAGCACTCTCTTTCTAAAACGTGTATTTTCAAAAAGTGTAACAAAATCTTAAAAACTTAGAAATGTCAGACACAACATGGCGGGTTTTTGTAATAGCAGTTTTTACATAAACAAATTTTAGTTTAAGTTAATTACGTTGTCTTATGTAAAAAATAAAAAATAATAAAAAAAAAACCTAAGAACGTGGATTCGGAAGTATTTGTGATTTCCGATGTCTAATGTATAATCACCACATCTGTATCTAGTGACTGTTTGTTGTCATAGTCACTGTAAAGATGATCTCAGTGTATAGGTACGACCCGTAATATAATTTTAGTTTTCAAAATTTGTGCTACAGAATTGACACTTATTGCCTATAGTAAGAGAATGATAATAATGATATGACCA